AGCAGAGCGAGGAGCAGAGCGAGGAGCAGAGCGAGGAGCAGAGCGAGGAGCAGAGTGAGGAGCAGAGCGAGGAGCAGAGCCCTGCAGCGGGGTCGCCCTAGAGGCACGGCCCGGCCAGATGTCGGCCGGCAGTGTGCCACTGTACTACTGGACTCTGGCCGCCTAGTTCGGAGGCAGGCTGCTCCCTCCCTCCTACCGACCCAGCTGAAAAATGATAGCATGTACAAAAAGTGCTGGCACCGGGCAGAGCTACGCCAGGCCGGGCCGGCCCCATCCACTTGTTGCGAAGGCCGCCTTGCCCCCGCCCCGCCCCCGCCCCGGCGTCGTGTCGGCGGGTTGGGTTGCGGCGCCGCTCCCTCCGGGCAGCTCAAGCTTTCGGCCACCGGGCGGGCCCAAGGGGGGTCGTCGGGCAAAGGCCAAAAGGGGACACCTGATCGCAAGGGCCACCCCGCCACGCCACGCCGGCCGGCGATCAGGATTGCGCTTGGCTTCCCCAGGCAGCGCTGCGGTCAAGTCAATGAGTGGACGGGACTGTGGGGCCCGGGCGGCCACCGCCGGGGAGATCCTCGGGGGCCCCAGAGAGCCTCGCCCGCAATCCGAATGGGCATACACACACGCGCACATGAGAGAGACCGAGAGGGAAATATATTTAAGGAGATCCCTCTCCAGAGAGATACAGAGGGGGGAAAGAGGTAAAGAGGCAGAGATAATACGAGGGAGAGGGAGGGAGGAACAGAGAGAGAGAGAGAGAGAGAGAGAGAGAGAGAGAGAGAGAGAGCGAGAGACGCAAGGAGGCGGGTGAAGACCACCGGACGTGCGCACGCCACGCAACAAGAGCCACGCGACTGCATCGCTCGCTCGCATACTCTTTCTCTCTCTCACTGACTCACTCCGTCGCTCGCTCACTATCCGTGTCACGTAACGGAGTGGAAGGGCCTGCCTGCTAGTGTGAAAGGGTTGAGCTGCAGGAGGGGGGGGGGGCAGAGGCAGAGGACAGTGACTCTATCAGCACAAGTGACATGTTCCGGCCTCGCGCAGGCGGGCGGCGCGGGGCCACGCCGTGCAGCCGAGCCGGCCGACCCGACGGCATGGCAGCGGAACATTAGATTTGTTTACCGAGCTCGCCTTCTGTCTCTCTTACACTCGGACACACAACGCCACGACACAACTGCTCAAGTGCTAAACGGCGGCGACCAAACCGAAGCCCGCCCGGCTCACTCACACACACACACATGCCCCGCAGTTGAATGCCCGGGTCTGTGCGAGCCTCGCCCTGGCCGCCTGAGACTGCCTCCTCGGCCATACCAGGGCCCGCCGCCGCCGCCGTATCGCCAGGGCCCGATAACTAACTACTCCGCCTTCGGACAGGCATCCTCACCGTGATGCTCTTCGAATAGTCTCTACCCCTCTCTCCCCCTCTACTCTTCTCTCACTCTTCTCTCTCTCTCTCTCTCTCTCTCTCTCTCTCTCTCTCTCTCTCTCTCTCCCTGGCGCTTTCGTTCTCCCACACTCGGTTATCGCCGGCCGGGAGGTAAACAAATGCGGTGGCCTATCGGAGCACTCCCGCCCGGCCCGGGTTGCGTCCTTCAAGACCCTGAGGCTCTCCCTGGCCCCCAAACGCCAGAGCCCCCACCCCCCTTCCCTTTCCGGAGGAGCCGGAGGAGCAGAACGTGATTATCTAGGCCTCAAATACTTGAAATGAAAAGAAGAAATCGCGTCATAGTCGAATTCTGTAAGCCATTAAGGTTCGAATTGACATTTTCGGTGCTGGAAACACGCCGCTAAGTTTACGACCGCACGTTTGACAACTCCATGCGCGAGTATTGTGTCGGGTGGAGCTGCGCGCGTACGCCGGGCGCGCGACTGGCGCCTGGGCGCGCCTCTACCTCCAACGACGCCATTTCCGCCCGCCGCTTCAACTCGGCTGCGCCAGTGCGCCGTATGAATACTCATTAAGAGCCATCGCCACGGCGCAAAGCGAGCGTGTGCACGTTTTGTTCGCCGTGAGCCGCACTTAGACTCGCCCGGCTGCACAGCTACAGCCCCTCCCCCCGCCTCCCTCTCTCCCTCCCTCCCTCTTCGATTCACCAATACAACGCACACACTTCACAATCCCTAGGCCAACTAACGCGCGCGAAACGACCATCGACCATCAGAGCGTTTTGCTGAACGTCACACTTGCTTTGCTTCGCTTGGCCGAGCCGCGTATCCCGCTTCAGCCGCTGAGCACGTGACGAGCGGCTGAATCGCGGAACGCGTACTGACTGATGTGTGTCGCTCTCCCACGAATGATGGAGCGCCGGTGCATCAAGGGATACAGGCAATAAACTGCAGGGGTAAACAAACCACTAATTTTGCGAATAGTACAGTCTCCTGCCAATTTTGTTGACAGGGAAAAGGGGGGGGGGATCCCAGCCGCTTCATAACTGCGATAGGGCCCTAGGTTCGCTGGCGGCGGGTGGGAAAAGGGTGGGGGGGGGGCTTGCATATGCACAATGCGATTTGAATTTCGAGTCGGGAGGCGCCCCGCCCCGCCTCGCTCCGCCGCGCCCCGCCGCGCCCGCGGGATCATTACACCACCGCGCCCCGGTGCAGAGTATAACCGGCCACCGGCGGACACCACGGTGCGCCGGGAGGAGTGCGCCAGTTTAGGGCTGTGTGGGGAAACCCTTTCCAATCGGGATGTAACCGGAGGATGTACCTTCCGCGCAGAAGAAAATTGCCTCTTCGCGATGACATTCCTACATGTTTGTAGAAGACTTCCTCAATGTCTGGGGAGTTTCCCTCAAACTATGGGAGTTCTCCTCAAATCATCAGAGTTCCCCAAGTTTCCCATTTCATTTCTAAAACAAAGAATCAGAGATTGCTTATACCGCGCACAGTTTAGGGGTTCCGCCTTTAGCCCACTGCAACAATGTTATCAGAGTCGCCGCTAACGGGACGC